TAAACCCTTGAGCAAAGTGAAAGCATTTTATTCCTCGGATAATGAGAGAGATGAACAAAACTTTTTCAGATGCTATTTCTTTGATGTCATTTAGATACAGTGTATATATATATATATATATATAGGTGACGTCCTTTGAGGTCGGGGCTAATTGATCGTCTCTTTTCTTATTATGACTCTATGTCACTTATCTACATTTATTCTCTTTTTGAGAATAAACAGTACGTGATGCAACCCAACATATACAGTTGCCGATTTTATACATATGGTTAGCCAAGGTTTATAGAACACACATCGCATCGTGTTGTGTTGTTCATAGAACCAGCTACGTCACTGACCCACCTTGCCTCTCAGAGGAGGAGAATCGGTATTGGGTAACCTTATGTTCTATAGACCTTGGTATCTACCAACTGGAAGTCTGGTCCCCAATTAGAAAAAATTAATTTTGATTAAATTCGCTATAACTAAAGACCGGTTTGACCGATTAACACGTTAAAATTTCTTATTGGTAGGGGTGTTAATTTTGCTGATGATTTTGTGCGCGACTTCTTGAAAAAAATTTAAACTGTTGCATTTGATTTTTACTGATTTCCTTAATTTTGAAGTAATTTATTCCTTGAAAACATTTTCTACTACCTAATTTACTTAGTGACGCATTATCTGGTGTGTTTGGGTGCTTCAATGAAATTAGATGTTCATATTGCTTTTTATTCTTTAAAAATATACAAATACGTGGTCACAAATTGTTGATGTAATAAACATCAATCAAAATAAAGAATCTTTATATTAATCTTGAAAATATTTTTTTAAGTTTTAATGTTTTATCAATATGTTAATATAAAGCAAAACTAATTATAACCAAAAATATCAAATGATTTTCATTGATATTTTGATTGTCATTTTCTTACAACTTATTGTAAAGAAACGAAGAACATAAGAACTCCAATCAAAATTGTAGAAGCTTTGTGTAAAATTCCGGATGAATACTTGTTCGCATTACAGTTATCAGTTTCACATGAATTACATTTAATAAGGGTCGCGTATTTGCTCATTAAATCTTTGTTTACTTCATCGCACGGTTTATTGTCGTTGTTGGCCACTTTTAGACATGTTCTTGAAGTAACAGAAACTATATTCTGTGGTGTTGTAGTATCTACAATAAATCTATTATTAATATTTTATATATTCATATTATTGTTACGAAACACTACATATATTGCTAGAAAATCTGCATAATTTTTTTCAGTTTCATACCATTTTTAAAGAAGTAGTCAACACAAACGAACTTTTCGTTGGCTTCATTGTTATTTTTTGGGTATTCCAACGAACTACATTCCGTTGGTTTTATACTTGATGTATTCAATGGATTGCACTTTTCCGGATCGTCGATACTGTTACAATGGTAACATGTTTTAACAATTGCTCGAGTGAAGTCTTTAATAAAAATAAATATATTAGGATTTAAAAAAATGATAAGCTTAAGAAAGACGTATAAAGAAAAGAAACTTTTCTTACCAAAAATGATTAAACACAGACAGATTGTGATGATTTTTTTGAACATTTTTATAATACGACGTATCAGAACTGCTTATTAATCAAAATTATAATTTACATCTTTCCTATAGCATTTATATACTCTGTAAGTTTGAGGAATGATAAGATAAATCGAAGCCGATATAGAGGTCTTATTGTAAGGCACTCCTTTTCATCGATAAATATGAAGAAAATTAGTCGTATATATTTAATATTTAAATATTTATGTTGTTTTCAATCAACTATTTTCGTAATATTCTATTCTACTATTTTAGAGGTATAAATCCACGATTATATTAAAGATACCTATCTAGTCAAAATAAATTTCCTTAAATTTTCATTTTCGGGAAGCTACTCTACATTATCATGATTGATTTACAAGAAACGTCTAAGCCTTACCCCACCGAATCGATGCATGGAACTCATGCCTCAATTTCACAAGAGCAGCGATGACTAGCTTAAAAGTATTGTATATAAACATTAACAGCTATTAACCGAAATCTTAACTTATGGGAAACTGCCAATCGCATTCATTGCTGAATGTTTGTCGAACCTAAATCAAAGAATAACATTAAAAATAGAAAATCATGGTAGCAACATGAACAAAAGTATCCAAGTGTAACCAACTCAAATCCATTCAAAAAGAGACAAATCAGTCAATTTCTGGCTATGTTAAATTTTGTTTAGGCATATACAAGTCAACCCATCAAAAACTCAGATTTCTGTTCTTTCCTCTCAATTCATCCTCTTTCTCCAAAAATAACAATCTTATCGTCCACCATTACTCGTACAGGGTGTCCAAATTTCGATGGGTTTGCAGGGTATCTCAGTTATTATGAAAGATAGAAAGTTGCGGCTTTCGCGAACCTGAGCTACTTTTTTGTGAAACTTACAATGGTGCAAACCAAATTTTCATAGCCCTCTTCGTTTTTGATATACAGGGAGCGATTGAAATTTACGATTTTCAGACACCTCCTGTATCTCGGCTATCCGGAAACTTAGTAAGAAAGTAAAAACGCATTCCAATAGATTTTTCACGTGGAATCCAATGGTGCACGTAGAATTTTTCTAGTCATCACGGTTTTTGAGTTATAAATACAACTTAAATACTGAATACTCAACTTCTAAAATACTCAGTTCTTTATAACTTAAAAACCGTGATGACTAGAAAAATTCTACGTGCACCATTGGATTCTACGTGAAAAATCTATTAGATTAAAATCTATAACTGAGATACCCTGCAAACCCATCGAAATTTGGACAGAATGTACATCAACCTGCAAATATTTGGCAGTAACCACTACACCCTCTCAGCATGTATTCCAGCGTTTCCCAATTCTCTCCACACAGCCTACACCACTTCTCCACATTGTCTGCCCAGTACCTGTTCCCTCTCTTCTCATTGCAACAGCGGAATCTGGCCACCAATCTCTTCTCTTCTTCATCCCCTTCCATCAACAGATATTTTAGCACTTCCTCTGTCACTATCTCCCAATACCTTACATTATATCTTCCTTCTCGTATCTGTGACCTTCTCTTCTGCCTCTGTATGTCCCTGTCCCTCAGTTCTCTCCACTTTGTTGTTGTCGATCCCAGTTAGTGAATATCCCATTCTCCTATAATATCCTTCCCTATCTCCCTGCCCATATATCAACCCCCTCTCCTTGATTTCCCTTCAGCACTTTCCCAAGATAATGCAATGCGGTCTTCCTTCTATCATTTCCTCGTACTTCGCAGCTCTTCTTCACTATATACCCTGGAGTCTCCCTCGCCAACCCTAGTACCCATCACCAATACCTTGTTTGTACATCCTCCAACAATCCCTGTTCTCTCCATGTTTCCTCTTTTATTTTTACTTTTATTTATTAACCTTTATTTTTCCAACATCCCACCCAAAACTTCTCTCCCCCCATCATTAATTTATCTGTCTATCTTATATAGTATGTTTAAGTAGTATGTACTTTTATCAGTATGTTTTAGTATGTTGGTCAAATGTTAGTTCTAGGTCTAGTCTATTCAAGTTCTAGGTCTAGTGTTAGTTCTAGTTTTGCACCAGCACTTTTACTAGAACTAACACAAGACCTAGAATTAGAATAATTCTGGTTTAGCCGTCTTGAGAGGCGTGCGGCTAAACCCGAATGTTTCTAGATTTAGGGCTAGTGTTAGTTCTAGTTTTAATTGTTGTTCAGCGTTAGATTGTGTTATATTTTTATTGAACGAAAAGTAGAACACTAGACCCAGAACATTCGGATAACATAAGTAGTGAATTTAGTGAATTCGAAATGTATTTAGTGTAGATCCTAAATTAGAGATGGCGCTTATAATTATTCTTAAAAATTCGTAATTTTTTAAAATCTAATATCATTATTTGTTTTAATCTTTATCAAATCTTTAATATTTTTTAATATAATATTATTTTGCATGTTATTTACTTGTAAAAATGCATTGTAGATGGCGTTGTTGGTCGCGGAAGCTCGCGAAAGCTCGGACCAAGACAGGGAGGGAGCCGCGCTTTTTTTAGTGCTTTAGTCCGCGAATCGTTCTAAATTTCAAAACACCGTCCGAATCGAATCCAAGATTAAAAGGAAGTTTTTTTACAACATAAAGCTCTCGTTTCCATTTTCGCCTCGGCCCGGTTTAAATTTCTTTATAATTGCTTTTTCGTGTTATCTTTTTCGGTGGTGTGAAATGGGGCCGTCATCCGATCGATTCCCGTTGTGCCCTATACCCCGAACCGGCGGAGGCACTTCGGGAAAACGACCATCGAAATAAATTCGGTAACAATACAATCAACATTATTATTTTCTTTCATTTAAATAAATACGTGTTATCGTTTTTCTATTATTTTTTTCGGACATCATTCCGGAAGAGGAGAGAGGAAAAGCGGCTAAAGCTCTAAAGCTCGGGTCGCGACCGGGCAGACACTAGTATCGATTGAGCTTTCTCGCGAGGCGCGATTGCTAATTTTACGACGATAAAATGTTTAGGAGTTTTCTACGTGGAAAACGAATCAAGATCATCGAGTTTGGTTACAGGTGATGATGTTTTTTAGGTAAGTTTATAGTAATTGTTTCAAAAAGGTGCTTTTTTTTGGTAATTAAAAATTTTCAATTATATCTCTAACTTGATGATTGTATTTGTGATAAAAATTATTTTAGTTTTAGAATAAAATTTGATCCATGAAAAATGATTATTAAAGTATTTTAAGACGAATATTAAGAAAATGCATATGAATTACGTCATCATGGTTGACCTATAACTCAAATACGAATAATGTAGTTAATTTCAATATTTTCCAAGAATGATATCGATTTACAACAAATTTATTTAAAATTTCATCTGTCAAGTTGACGTTTATCTGTCAATGTGATGCTTTAATTGACAATTTGATATTTAAACTCAAAATATATTAAATTAATTTTGAGGAAAGACTGAAATTAAGTTCATTCAAGAAAAAAAATCAAAACTTTATTGTACTTTAACAATTAGTTCCGGGTTTGAGTGAGGTACCGGGAACTTGTGACAAATAGCTTGCGGTAAATTCGTTTTTAATCACTTGAAAAGCACATTCCTCTTTCGCATGTTGTGTAGGTAATTTAAAACAAATTTACCCGGCAGGGTTGTCAGGGCTTCATGCCCCCTTTAACCCCTCTTCAGGTTAGGCTTTTTTCTCTTTTATTTTCCACGTTTTCTTCCTGTGAAGTAAAGGATTTCGCGCGGTTTCCACCTAGATTGAAAACGATAAGTGTACCGGCATTTTTGACACGGTCACGTATACACACGTCCTACAATCTCAACACTACTGTTTCTCAACACGCCATTCTCCCACACTTTATCCCTTATTCAAGAAACTCGACAACCTTTAATATCAAATCGTAACGAATCAATAATTTTCATTATTTTGTCTAAATAGGTTAAAAATGTGTTATTTCGAAGAATTTTTTTTTAATTTGTTTTTTATGTTAGGCCAAGTATCTACTTGTAGTGTTCCATTTCTAGAGTATATCTAGGGCAAAAACGGATCGATAACTTTCTGGGACTTGTAAAAATGGGTTACAACTGAAAAAAAGTTTGAATTAAGAATAATCTTGTTTTAAATACTTTTCGAATGAATTCGTTTTATAATTTTAAAATGACCTGATGGAAAATGATTTTAAATCTATTCATTTTTCGAATATTTTCTTCCTTTATTTTTAACTTTTGTGGTCATATATAAAGCTGTGATCAAAAATCTTGATTAACATATCAGGTGCTTTTAACAAGTATGGTGAAAGAGAGAAAGAAAGAACAAATAACATATATTCCTTGTAAGTGGACAATAAATTGGAACTGTTTGGACCAAAAATGCTAGGCATCCTAGGCATTTAGCTGTTTGTTGTCATCGCTCTGGTTTTAGTAGTCACATAATTTATGTGGTCATCTTCCGATTGGCTAGTTCTGTGTGTTAAGTGGGTTCTTCTTTTTCCAATACTAGATGCTTCCTCACAGAACCACGGTTTCGAGTTGCTTCCGCGTGTTTTGATTTTTCTTTTCTCTATAGATTCCTCTGCTGACTCATGTATATTTCGCTTGGAGAAAGGTTCTGTTGTCATTTATTTTTACCCTAAATTTCGTAGTCTGTCCTGATAGAGCGGCCTTTTGCTCTCATTGTCAAAGGATCCTAATTTGCATTTTCTTTATTTAATTTTCTTGTTTCTTGCTTCTTTTGTAATATCATGTGCACTTTTGCCAATATCATTTTATGATCACTTCATTTATCTGTTGATGACAACCCTCTGACATTAACCCATCTCAAGTATTTGAGTTTATTATTAGGTAGTCAATAATAGTTTTTTGGCCCCGTGCTATTTGAGAAAGTAAATTTGTGTTGATCTTGTGGCGAAAGTAAGTATTATTTCTTCGTAGACTGTGAAAGATGCATACATGTAGCAGCAACTCTCCGTTTTGGTTGATGACTTATCGTTCTATCGTTGTTTCACTCTGCCGAGAATCCTGTCATTAAAATTCATCAGATCGTGCTGATGGTTGGTGTTGTTTCGGAATGCTTTCTGTTAGGTTCTGGGACTGATTGAAACAATTCTTTATTTCTTTCTTTGGTTTACTGAAGTCTTGTGCAAATATATATTAATGAAATGAAATAGTCGTTCATGTATTAACATTCCGATAATGAGTTGCGTTCTTGCGTTCTTCAGCCATCTGTTGTGTATCAATACATAATTGCTATATTTTAGTGTAAATATCTATTCGATGCTTATTAATTCCAAAATAATTTCTTGGACTTCTTCCAGTACCTATTTTCTCGCCGTGTCGGAAATAAGAACTCCTAAGCATGATTTTTTTGATTACGGATGTTTGAGTGATGAAGTCAAAAGAATACGATCAGTATGAAGTGGAAGCTCAATGTATGATTTAATCAGAGACTAAGAACTCGTGAAAATTTTGAATAAAACACGGCAGACAGAGCGGTGAAACTATCATACTGACCAAATATCAACTGTCTGGATAACCAACGATCGATAACAAAGAGTGAGCGTGAAAGACACAGTTGGTAATTGGGTTGTGGATGGGCGATCACAAGATCGGCTACATATGAGTGGTTTTCTTCTTGAGATCATCTCTGTCAGCTATGTTGTAATGATGATGTCTAAGTCTTGGATGGTTCTATTTATAGCTCGAATGAAGATGAACATCAGATACTCTATGCCTTATCGGGATGGGTGAATGGCACTAATTTATGGGCACATACACGTATCAAAGATACCAATCCAAACATTAATATTGAAGTCTAGTTTTGAATGAGACCCAGTTTCACAAAAACGTATTAGTAGGATCCAAGGTAAAAGGAGTTGTTTTCTAATAACCCTGTTGGTATCATTTCCAGAATTGTTTCTTCATATTATCATTAATTCGTTATAATTAATTCTTTAATTCAAAAATCGTTCTTGATAAATTCGTATACTTTCTTACAAAATCTATACATTAATATATACATATGTTACTTTGTTATTAAAACTGTAATTCTTGTTAAGAAAAATTGTTATGTTGTTGGATCTTCGAAATAAAACCTTATACCATAAGGTATGGATACAAATCTACTAGATTATAGTTAATAAAATTACAATTTATTCATTAATATCTTAGCTTACAGCGACATACTATATAATCAAAGATGTCGTACCTAAATGCCTCTATATGAAATATATAACCTCAGTTTAGGTGGTGTGTACTACCCAGTTAATAAAGAGTACAAATGAGCACGGCCGCAATCCATAAAATTTGATGGAATACTTTATGTAGCGCACACACATAAATCCTGACAAAAAAATTAAATGGGACGATATTCGGCTAACCATACTTTATAAATCATAACGTACTTACCATTAATTCTATACACACTTTTAGTGGTATTAAATAAACAAGAAGAAAGGAACTAAAAAAAAATACTACACCAATAAATTTTTGTAAAAATAAAAATTTAATTAAAGGGTGCAAAAATATTATTTTTTTTTTATTTATAGGACCATTTCTTTGTGAAACTTGAAGAAACAATTAGAAAAATAAGTAAAAATGTTGTACATATTATCGGTGTCTTATGAAAGTTCTAGAAAGTTGAGTGTACACCACTCTTGTTAATTTATGACGAAGTTAAAGTGTTAGTAAACTGTTAAAAAAAACTTCGTAAAAATGTTCATATTTCACTCTTATCGTATTATTATGAATATATATTGCGTGATTATGGGAAGTATTATAACTGATAATATATGACGTTAACATACAAATGTGGTATTAATAATAAATCTTTGTTGATTTAACGATTACTGTTATCACTTTTGACGTAAGTAAGTTAGTAATGCTTTCTTACTAAAAATATTTAAAGGCGAAAGCAAGGCAATACGTATTTGTAATTAAAGAGAGAGAGTAAGGCTATGCTAAATACTTGAAAAAGTTAACAAAAGTCACTCTGTGGTGACTGACATTACAAAGGGGTTGAATATTTTTCGACACAGAGATAAATATTTAGCGTAACTAGCTATTATATCTGAAAATGACCTATTTTAAAAAATTATTAAGCATTAACGTTGCTCTCATTTCACACTCCATATCGAATTTTGAGCTGTATTCGGTTTTTATTACAGCTATAGCCGAAAACCCAGCGTCGTATAAATACGTTGTTGCAAAAGAAACGAGAAACCTCACAATGTTTTGTCCATATATAGCTTTTGGAACAATCTAGTTATAAAATCATAACATTTAATAAAAACGTTTCCATTCTCCTACGGTTATATGAAAGCACAAGTCGATACACGTGAAATAAAGTGCGTGCTAAAACCGTTTACATTTCTTTTCAGATGTTTCCTTGTGATTATATAAGAAGTGGAATATTTTCTGTGTTAACCTTAAAGGTGTATTTTAGTAATGATAACGTTTTGGGTCTCGAGATTTTAGATATCACGTTGTTCAAAAAAAATCATCTAGGCCTATAGTCTATAAGAAAAACCGCGATATCTACAAAATCACCAAACGTACCCAGAACGTTAGTAGCCTATCTAACACACCCATAAGCTAAGATATTTCTGATTTTGTAGTGATGTTGATTAAACTTTTTGCATATCATACTCTTACACAGTTGGTCAGATCCACATTTCAAATCTTATTACCAAGGATAACTTGTGCATCCTTATAGTTGATTATTGCATGAGTTGAACCTCTCTACTTTCTGTCCGGTCGAAGATACAATATTTCCAAATTATTTCACCGTCCATGATATAAAAAGACCTCAAAGGTCTAAGAAAGTCTAAGAAGATATACATATACCAACATTTTCTTTTACTGAATAGTCTTAGATATCACATCCATCAAATTATATCTGATCCGATATATATTCGTCAAAAACTTTTTAAAATTTTTTAGCAGAAATGTTTTTTTTTTCAGACTGATGTGAAATTATCACAAGGCATGTAAATGATCTTGCGGCTTATTTGACATCCTGAAATATAAGTAAAATAAAGTTATGAAAGAGAAAAAGCTAAACATAATTTCTTTTGAGTCTGTGCGGAAATATCTAAGAAATCATTGCAAAATTGATCACTGTCCTTCACTTTTTCTGGTAGATACTTAACATACACAGTTCATTAAGTAACTGTAATTGTAGACCTAAGCTATGTTCTCGCTTTCCTCAATGTGTTCTTCTTTTAACGGAACAAATTGTTGGAGCAAAACACAAAACAGTAATGATTGAGCTTAACTCTAAGTGTTGTTGAATGTTAAATCTGTTGTAATTTGTTTATTTTGCCAATATTGTAACCAATTGCCAGTTTCTGCATAAAGATTTTTTTATAGAATAAAATTGTTCGGTAGACTGGAATTTTTTAACAATCAATATATTTGATAGCTAAACAAATATGTTGATTGTTAAAGCATTTGGGTGCAGCAAGCTTTTTTGTTCAAACCAGCTTGTTATTGAAGATATAATAGCATCTAAATATGGTTCGTAAATCTTTGTATTTGAATTTGACTTATTGTTATATTTTATTAAATATTTCAACAATCTTTTAATACAAGCTTGCAAAATAAGCTTCGTTCTGTTTTCTGTGTTTCTAAAGAATTGTTTTTCTTTAATACTTTCTATGTTTCTTTTTAGCATCAAGAGCACTTTGAAAAGTATTAACGACAAGCTCTATTTTTGAAATGTATTTTGCTATTATGACCATGACAACAAAGTAGTTTGATTGCGATTCTGTCGCACATAGCTTTCGTTCTTGTATCTGCGACATATTCTGGATTCCTAGCATGATCTTTATATAATTTGGCAATGTATTCATACGAATATTCAAGTAGCTTTAAAACAGACCATCTCGTTTTAAATAAAAGAAGTATATTTGTCCTTATATCTTCTACGTGATATACTTTATTAAGAAAACGTGACGACTTCCTTAATACTTGAAGAGCAATTTTGAATTTAGCGAACTATGCATAAGTCATTAAGAACAAAATTCGTCTGTGTGGTGCAAAATGGAAGAAGTTTATCTTTGGGTTGGGTAGGGTTGGGTGTTACAAACCGAGACTTGGGTTTAATGGATGTGCATGTTTGATGACATGTTTGTCCATGTCCAATCAAAAATTAGATAGAGCGGGATAGTAACCCAACGTTTATCGTCTTGGAATCAAACGTTTCATTAATGCTGAGGTTATCAGTCTTTGAAATTTTTGATTTTTGTACTTTGGAGTTTCGTATTGGTTTCACATTCTTTTAGAACTAGATTCGGCTCAGCTTACAATAACAAGGTAATAACAAAACTACGACCACGTAACGGAAAATATTGATAAATAACTGAAAATTGGTCTATCATAGTCAATGTAACGAGAAATCTTGTTAGATTAAGATTTCTATTTTCTCCAGCGCAAGAATCGTTGAAGACATGGAGAGTTATAACTTATGGAGATATTATGGTTCCAAGAAAGCCGGCTATAGCAGTACTACTTTGAACCTTTGTTTGTCTCTCCAGGTCTGTACATACATAATGTTTCCATGTTTGGCAACGTCTTTTCTGCATTTTAGTAACCGAAAAAACTTGAGTTTAAATATGTGGCTACAACTGAAGAGTAACGGGACATCTTCACATTTGAAAAATATGTAAATTTTGCAAAGCAACGTTATCAGTTCGAGTATTATTAGTTCTCAGCACTGCAAAAGTTATAGGTTAATATAGGTTATTATAACGTTTATAGGTTAATATTACATCCCTTGTGTCTCGTAACTTCCATATAATCTCAATCTTTCTCTCTCTCGGATAATAAAGACCTTAAGGAGAATTCAGGATCAATAAACGACTTAAAACAAGTTTGAAAAATATTTGAAAATCATAAAAATATTAAATCCGATATGTCCAAAATATCGTGGTTAAATAAAAACATCTCAACGGATTCAAAATTATTGATTGTCAAGGCCAGAAACTTTTTAGTACCGTCTAAATAATAAGAAAATGAATTTTATCCTTTCTCAATCACAAAAATTAGTCGATATTTGTTGGATGCCTTTTTATGAACCAATTTATTAGTTTTAATGAACACGAAATATATTTCACGTCTTAACGATGTCATACTGTTATGTCGATGTCGAACGAAAATATTTACTTTATTTGTTAGTATCATTCACTGCATTGATGTTAGGATGAACAAACTTTATCTTTATGGAAAACTTTTTGTACAATTCTTGATTGTAAATGATAATTTTTGTAGCAAAAAAATTTCAATTCTTCTTTTTTTGTTGTTCTATTTTAGGATGATATCCGAGCGCTGATTTGGTATGCAGTGGCGGAAGTTGGCTAGAACCAAGATCACGTCCGGGCGATCGCGTACGCGCAATATGCTGTGCTGCGGTCGTAGCAGAAAGGTAAGAAAAAAATCTTCCATTCATGCGAAGAAATAAAGTCATGAAAATGGTCTATTGATACCAAGAAAACGAAAATCATGAAATTTTCCATTCATATGATCCCAATAAAATCTGCAATTCATATTGATGCGTAGTAATAACAAACAATAATAATTAACCCTTTTTCACTCAACACTAAATAATAGGATTATCTACAAAAATCCAAAAAAGTGTTATTTTTTTATTTTGTAAAAGATTTTTGTACGTATTTTTTTTGTTTTAAACTTTAATCCTCTTTACACGTAACAAATAGACACGTTGGTTTAAACGCGTTTTAACGTGGGTGGTGCATTCCACGCGACACGTTAACCACCATATCGAGTGGGCGCTTTGATCACGTGACACGGTCGCATTCATAATACCATTCCGCCCACGATAAACTACACATACTATGTACTTTAGAGAAATGCAATGTTCTGATATAAATATTACCTACTTGGTACTACTACTATGTATGAATTGAGAATTTAAATTAAGAAAATTTAAATTAAATCGATTTACGTAATAATTTTGAATGAAATATAAAAAGTATATAAATAATCTCAAAAGAAATATACACAATTTTCAAAAAAAATTAATATGTAAACTGAAATTTACATTAAAATGTTTAGACTAGTGATTCCCACTCTTTCCTAGTCATGGCGTATATAAACTGTACAATCACACTTTCAAATGAACTTGTAACCTTTCTTCTTGGTAGCTTACGATGCTCAAAAAAAAATTGTTCTCAGGCGTGAGTTGCTTTTTGAATGAAGTATCGTTTAAAGATGCCTTCAATAGAGAGGACAAGAGAAACAAAACGTTTGTTTAGCTAATGAATAGTAAGAATATCAGTGACAACACGATTGCAAAAACGAACCACATTATCTCTCTTCATGACATATCGGTCAGAGATTAAGATCATCCTAGGAGGTGGATTTGGCAAACCGAAATGCTACTAGCTTGGCAGAAGCCAGAAGATCCCTGGCAAAATGATTGCAAAAACGAACCACGATAGCTCGAGGTGTAGAAATAAAGTCTGTTCTAGTTCCATAACGGACACGATTAATACGTACCTAGAACGTTGTTCTTATTCCCCTTCACTGAGATGCCCTGCAACTCGAGGTTGCTTCTACGAGAGTATTGCTTTAAATCTCGAACTTCATCCTTAATTTCAATAATTTGCTTTTTGAAAATAACATTTGTGTCCTATCCGGATAGTATCAGTTTTAAATTAAGAAGCTTTATAATTGCAAAGCTATACAAAATTGACAATTTCGTCATAATTGGAACTCATAGATTGTGTAACGTTTAATATCTCAATATTTCAAGGCTAATTGCAAAGAGTACTGCGATTAGTAGCATCACCAACACTTAATGGAGCGACAAGGAGATCACTCTTCCATGACGCACCCGCAATATTTAATGCAGCATCGGAATGTTTTTAAATATTTGGACAATTGATTTTTGCTCTATGCTTGCTTTTTGATACCGTCCAAAACACAGCTTCACACCAATAAACATAGATGGGGATATTCATTAAGACCTAAAATTCTTCCAATTCTATGCGGCCACATTTTGCTTTCAAACTGTTATCACAAGATAACTCGATAATATTAAATGGATCTTGAATCCAAGCATCGAAATTTTTTTTCAAAATATTTATCAAGCCAAATAATTTGCTGTGAAAAGAGCCCCTCAAGCATGGTTTTTATATTTTTAGAAGAATCTAGTTCATATGACGTCAAAAATTGCTGTAAAAAAAAACATCTTTGCCTGCATCTTCATTAACTTTTTTTCCATACTTTGAGATTTTCTATATAAGCTGATTTTTTCGTTCCAAATTTGTCACGAAGGGTCTATGCATCTCCATGTGCCTATTTGACCCTGAGGCGCAGGCTAACAGTTTGGGAATCACTGTTTTCAACATTGAACAAATATATTTGCCAACATCCTTTTGCTATCAATGTTTACGCAAATGCATCGCGTAAAAATGGCTTCTTGGTGTAAACAGTTGATAGAACAACAGTTTTTATCAATATTGGAAGTCAGTGTTAATGAAAAAGACTTTGGTGATTTAAAATTTAAGAGGGATGATTCAACATCGAAAATTCTATTTACACATACAATTATATCTGAAGAAGCTAACAGATATATAGCATATGTCAACAAAAATGAGATCGGAGTTCAACACTTACACCTAAAACAATGGAAATTTGTAAATTTTCAAGAAGTGTACACTTCATTGGGGTAACGATTTTGGTGCCGCAAATAAAATGCAAGATTTTCATGATTGTTGGATGTCACGCAAGTAGTTAGCAACTCCAATTTTTGGTCGTCTTAAATTTACTAATAATAGTGGGGAAGTTCGATGTGATCGTGATATGATATACATCTGAATAGCAACAGATATGAAAAAAAAAATAAAGAAGTATTTCATTTGTCAATAACTACTGTACTAACTCACTATTACTTTGATCAAGACTTTAACAAGACAAATACGAGGTTAGCTAACAATTTGCTTTATTATTACATACAAATATATCAAATGCTACAGAAAAATCTTTTGGAAAATATTAATAATGTATATTTTTTAACATATATCTAGCGAACTAAGAGGAAGTCTAAATTACTTGAACATTCAGCTGCGAATACTTCGTAACTATTTAGTTACACTTACAACTGTTGTTAGTTACACAACTGCTGCAATTAATATTATGACAAAAATCGGTAATGCGTAAATTTCATATAATCTTTTTTATAAATTAACTGGTGACAATAATGTCTTCTCCCTACATTGGCAATTTCCAAAACTATAGTCTAATTCATCCCAAGTAATTCGTTTCCATTCTTTTTTGTCATGTAACATTCTCCTAATTTTCAGACTACTTCCTATGAGTCAGTTACTTTTTGCATATTCTATGATAGACTTCGTGGCATTACATTTTTTTGCTTATATCTTACTGAATTTTTTCTTTACACATGATAACGCATTGAATTTTGTTGTTGAATCATGAAAATTTTTGTAGTTTTTGCATTAATATGCCTCTAATGGTGCTCGTATTGGTTCTATTACTATTCCTATTTGGCTTTTTCTATTATTTTCCACTACATTTTCCAGTGGTCTTTTTTAATTTTTCCGATTTCATCGGATAGTCGAGCTGAGATCTCCCATATAGTTGACACATTTCCTTGTCTTTCATGTTGTTCTAAATTGTACTTTACTACAAAAACAATAATTTCAAAAGGGTCAATTTCACCCAATTCAATGGAAATTTAATATTTTGAAAATGCTTTTTTTACGTACAAATACTACATAGACCAACCCAATTAATAATTTTCAAATGTCAAAACTAATCCTAAGAAGTATAACATTCTTAATTAGTGAGTACAAAAAGTATTTGTTTCATTTTAATACAAACTCGCAAATTAACTTGAGATAAAATGAGAAAATTTTGTATAAGCGTTGATCATTATAATAAATATTCGAACAAAAAATTTTAATCAAATTGCGATACCAGTAATGGCACTTTGTCCTGATTAGCTGTGTTTTGAAAATTTGTATTCTTTATCGGATTCAACTAACTGTATTTTGAAATAGCAGAGCTTTTTAAAATTTAAAATTCAATTGTCTATCGATGGACGTTAAAAATGTTGTGAATCTTTAATGAAGGATAACTGACCGGGATATAAAATAGCGGGTTTCACCATTAATATTGTGAGGAAATTTTAAATTACTATAATAAATTTGTTGCTTTTTTAATCTTACACAAAACCTAGAAAGTTTATTTGAACTTAATACTAAAAATAATGTCAATGTGAATTCTTAATTATTTTAGGTTAACTTTAAAGATTACCAGTTGATATTGTTATTAAATATACTTTCGTTTAACGTGTAAAGCATAAAAGTATCTATTCAAAAAATATAGGTTCAAAAAAAATCTCTTCCAAATATCTCCACTTATTTCTGTCTTTCGCTGTTCTTATCCATTCTTTTCTGCCACACCTTTCATATCATCGATCCACCTTTTCTAGTTTTGTCGTGGTCTTCAAAAGGTTATTCTTCGTATCCATTTTTTTGTGTTTTGTTTTGTCATATGCCCGATCCATTGCCACTTAAGCCTCGCTATAACTCGAATTATAACATCTGTCATTTGTGTGCATCTGCAAATTCCGCTATTTCCAATCGTCTTTCTCAGAGTGACTCTCAGCATTGCTCGTTTCATCGCTCTTTGCGTTATACTAAGTTATTCTGCAGTTTTTCTCGGCAAGGCCATGGTTACAAATCCGTATATAGTCCCTGGCAGTATGCAGCTATCATACACCTAGATACATACACATTACATACACCAAGATATATGTAATGGCTGGGAAAATTATTTTGTGTGTTGCTCATTATTTTGGTTTTATGCAGGTTCATTTTTAGACCAATTTTCTTTCAGTGTTCGTTTAGAGTTTAAATCTTGTAACATGTTTCCTAGTTCCTTTATGTCTGAACTGACCAGTCCCACCATCCACAATTAGACTCATATTTTCCTAAACCAATTGTTTAAATACATTTTCCAATGCCAAAATGAACAATTTGATGTCACCCTGCCGAATGCCTTTACCAAAAGGATTTTTCTCTGTTTTTGTATCCTCATCTCTTTTGATGTGAAAGGTCGCTTATTCAGGGATATTTTTGATGATGGCGGTGTATCGCGAATCTATTGTAGCATCTTTTAGTGCTACCAGAAGTGACCAATGCTATCAAAAACTTTATGATAATCGATGAATGCTAAGTGTAAAGGAACATTATAATCTGTAGTTTTTTCAGTACTGAAACCTTTTCGATAACCGGCCTGCTCCCCTGGTTGATGTGAATCTAGTTTTACTGTAAGACGATTCGTTATAATTCTAGTTAGTAATTTGTAGAGATGGGATAATAAACTTATAGATCTATAATTTTCAATATTTGTGTTGTCTCCCTTCTTATGTATAAGTATGACCTCGGCATTCTTCCATGCTTTGAGTATCTTTCCTTCAGCATATCGATATTTCGGGAAGGTTCTCCAATCCGACTTTTAGAACCTTTCTAGTCACAGTTTCCGATTTTGGCATGGCAGAAAAGTATAGCTTTTCACTGAATGTTTAGATTTCTTTTACAATTCGTATTCTTTCTCTGGTTATATTTCCATTTTGTTAGATTTGATCTTTGTATTATCCTATTCTTGTTGTTTTCTATAGTTTCTACAATTTGTTTTGTTTTGGTATGCTCTTAGGTTGGCTCGTTTTTTCTTTTTGACAATGCGATTAGTACTTTTGTATTCCGTTGTACACTTCTGCGTTTTCCAAATTTTCCATTAATTTGTGCAGTTTCTCTGTGTAGTGTGTAGTTTCTTTTATGTTTTTAACTCTCATAAACTTAATAGGTAAACATACAATGTTATTTATAAGAGATATTTCTGTCGGTAAATGGCAATGTTAATCTTAAAAATTATGTTGGTACCATTAAAAAAGTAAAAAAGTTGAGTGTACCTCACTCCAGTTAGTTTATGTAGCAGTAAGATTCTAATACTGAAATCATTTTCGGTTGCATTATTGTGTTATCACAAGAAAATGGTCGGGTTATATACAAATTTAACAATATAAATATGATTTCAAGTGAAATTTAACTTTTGGTGTCCACATTCACAAAGGTATGCAATTTGAACACACTTGAAGAATTAATCTCCTAAAAATATTGTCGAGCATTTTAAGAGGATTTCTATGGGCTCCATTAATGAATTGGAAAATCGCACTGTACTGTTTATAATAGACTCCACTATTTCTATCTCCATTAATTGTCAAGTCCTCTTTGAAACTGCTAACTTGAATCAGTTTAAAAAAAAGTTCTGTAATTAACTCAAAAATTTACAATCTCTTTTATATATAATCCGACGTTCTACATTTTTTGATTGAATACATTTCATCTTATTTAGCCCCTTTTTGCTTTTAACGTTTACGAATGTGGCGGTTGTTTGAGATGATAATTGCGTTATTTCCAACGTTAATTAATTCCGGCTTTCTTGCTTGCTTCCCGCACCATCTTAGAACTCGATATTAACCATAGGGAATGAGTTTGGAGTTAAGGAAATAATAAGCGAGCACTTCAAAGCAAACGTTTCTCGTCTATCCCTTTTTGTGTGTGCATCCATCTTGGAGTTTACTTAAAGTACCTGAAGGCGGAGGAAATTTTCGACTTTACCAAGAAATCCGAGTTATTTTGGACGGTATTTTAAAGTTATTCTATTTAAACACTAAAATGTTAGTGTATTCAAATTAGTAAGTTTAAAGTTAGTTTTAAGTTAACTTTTTTCGTAAACCATTTTGTTGTGGTTTCTAATAAGTTTACGTGGTTAAATTGAAGTAGCTCGAACGAAATGAAAGGAATAGAGAGCGCACGTGGAAAATAGTTAATTACAGTGGGAATTGTTTGATGGGCCTTTAGATAGGAAAGAAAACGAGGGTTGTGTAAAGGGGAATGAGGAAATTGCTTTATACGGAGAAACGCTTTTTTATATTTAATTGAATGGTGTAACTACAAATAATTTTTTTTTGTATTTAAAAATAATCAGCGTACTAAACAATTTTTTTAATTAAATGAATGATTTTTTTACAGTTATTTCGAGGGAACAATACTGTAATTCATGTAAGTCGGCCGATGTGTATTTTTATTTGCTAATTTTCATTCGTGTTTCTTATTTTTCACAATTTATTTTTTTTATCTTGCTTATAAAGCTTTGTAGCTTATTATTAACTGTTTTTTAAGATATTTATAAAAATTGATGTGGTTATTGCTTATGATTAATGTTTATAACGATTTATATTTATTATATTTTTTTTTTAATTATATTCAAATTTCTTTTTATTATCTTTAAATAAAGGGTTGCGCCAGATATTTTTTTGTAAAGCTTCAGTTGTGATTACTGAACTTTAAAAAAGGTTCTCGGTATTATTTTCAGTTCAGCAGCTGTGTTTTTGTTCTATTTGAGATTATTTTGAAGTAGAAACGTTTTCTTGTTTTAATTATTCACAAATAAAGGGGAAGAATTGAGAGATTTGTTTCCGGTTGGGTTATCTTTGTGGATATTTTAATTTAACTAATAATACAGCAAAGAAAGCTCAAATCTATTTAAATTTTTTTCATTCTTCAGAAAGTGGTGATAATGTATTGGTGGGGTTACAGATTTAATATAAATAGGTTGCGGTGGGTAATTTAATAATTAAAGTGCATCTTGAAATACATTACAAAAGAAGATCTCTTGATTGTTCAAAAAATTGGTGGATGCGACGGAATCTTATAAAATAACATAATTAATTTGTATACAAAATCTTGTTGTCAGCAATTTCTAGCCAGTTCAAGTTGATTTAATATTCTTACTGAGAGAATGCAATTTAATTATGGGAAGAACCTCCTTGGCGATTTTAATAAACTTTTGATGAAATTCATAAAATGCCGGATGTTTAAGGGTTTTAAACAAATTTGTTTTAGGTAGATTGTTTTCAAGCACTCAATATTTCCACATAACTCGTAAATTGGAATTTTTACTGCAATTTTTTTTATAATAAAAAGACATTACCTCTTATTAAGGGGATATGTCACCTAGGAGACTCCAAAATAAAGCTAACTTTAAGATTTTTTGGAATGAAAGCTGTGGGGTTTTAATAAGCAGCTTTTCTACTTTTAAAAACGTATTTTATTTATTAACAGTTATTAAAATTGCACCCGCTAGATGTTTGCAATGTTAAGCTAGCAAATCGTGCAGAGTCAATTTGTGTGCAGAATTTCTCTTAAACCGGAAGTCAATAATCAAATTTCGAGTACGATTACTTTTCAAAACTCAAAAACTAGGAAACTACGTAGGATTTTTAAAAAATATTTATTTTTGACGAAATGGTGCCGATTTTACAAGAAATGCCATATTTATTGATAAAAAGCATACATAAAAATGGTTGTAAAACAGACAGCTTTAGAAACCTTAATCAGCGATTCCAACACCGTACATTTGTGCTTCCTGAATTTTATTTTTTTCTTCTGCAGCTAATCTGTCTGACAATATGCTTCTACGAGCTTCTTTAGCCTCATCGATTATTATGGAGCGCTTAGCGTGAGCAATGTAGCAAAACTTAAAGCACGATTTTTTAATTGGTAATTTTTGTACTTACATTACTTAAGATCATCATTAAAATTATAAGCAACAATATCAGCCACAATGCTAAACACTTTCTTGCCACTATGAACCGTTTTTGGTGCCATAGACCATAACATATCGTTGTAACTTTCATTTCTGTTACTACATAACTTTTTATGCATTTTAACTTTTTTTAACAGTAAGGTTCAAATACCTAGATATATACAGCTGGGCACTTTTCTTTACCATAATCACGTAAACTGTATATCTAATAACATGGGTTGATTCGGTTGGTTTCGATTGAGTTAGGTTGGGTTGATATCGAGTAAAAAGGAAACACAAAAAGGTTACAAGTTGCTTGGGATTTTTGACTATTTAGAAGGTGCATCACAAAAATGAAGTTTTCAGACAGAAAAACGTTTCGCAAATTTTTTCTGCCAATGCATTCTCATTCTAGAGAGTCTAAAATATACTTTTTATACTTTTTTTTAAATTTCAAAGTTGGCAATTAGCTATTTCAGTATTTCTCAATTCCGCTACATTTTTATGCTAACTATATAATGTTATAGATATTGTTGAGACGATGGCTTTGATTTAAAGTTTAAGTTAGTAGTAAATATGCGGTGAAATCTGCACGGACATTCGTAAAAATGTGATGGAAAACGCAATAATATTTAAATGTGAATTTTATTTGTAATTTTTTGGACTTTACGGAAGCGTTTGCGATCACATTTTTGACTCTCTATTTTTAATTAGCAAAATAAGAAAAGAATAAGAAAATAATATGATTTTAATTAATGCAATAATTGAGATTGTACAAGTTTATTTGTTGCTTTTATCTTGATTTGACTACAAAAAATTAACAAATAATGCAACACATAAAACAGAAAGGTAAGCATAATAGAGCCAAAGATCGTAGATTGTGTTTGTAACACAGCTATTAAGAACTTATATCAGAAAAGTTTAACAATTTAAAAAATCTCATTGCAGAAATTTACAGGAAAGGATACAAAAGTCTTAGGAAAAGTAGTAGTCGGTCGTTAAGTTCACGTTTTCTATTCCACTTCTTATTCCTATCTTATTTCTCTTTACAATATAGATTTGATATTTATCTTTAGAGGTTTAGATTTTACTTTCTTTTCATGTTTGTAATTGTTGCTCAGTTTTTATAATTTTTTTGGTACAAGTAATACAAATAAATCTGCATATGCTTAACTGTATGCAATTTATTACACAATTTGAAATGAAGCTGTCGCATGAAGAGGTTCGCAAGAAGTATCTTTAAACGACTTATGTGACATATCGTAGTTTACAGCGACATGTGGGAAGGAAAAATGGAGGCATTAAAGTAGCTTTAATCTCGCAAAAATTTTCCAAACTGTTGAGCAAGAATTATAGCCATTTTTCCATCTTTTCAGATTATTATAATACTTATAGTGTGCGGCAACAATAACTCTCATAATTCGATAAATCAGGGTAAGGTTGTAAGAAGTTAGAATACAGTCTGACCTTTAAACTCAATTAATTCGATTATGAGCTGTCAAAAGTACTTTGTATTATTAAAGTATATGTGGAAATGTAGACTTATTAAAAAACCGTAGCGGTAGATATTACGAGTTACAAAGGTTTAGATCAAGAGAATATGGACTTCAAACACTATTGGTTCAAGGGGGAAGTGCTCCATCCTGCATAAATTACAACGTTTCGAAATTTGGATCACTTTGTCCAAACATTCCCGCTACCAAACAGCTTAACAGCACGTCCCCTACTTAGTTGCCTCCGGAAATGACATCTGTCAAAACTTGGCATTAACTGTTCTTCGTACATAGTAATAGAGGGGTGTCATTAACTTTGACTAAAGTTAGCATCTCTTTATATTTGAATAATTGATTGGAAAAAGGATATCATTCCAAAAAGCTTTGAACTATGAATAATGAATAAATATATTTCACCGCAAAAGGACATATCCAATGTAAACCTCAATGAAAGCAACGTTCTCCCAAAATTTTAAATTGATGCTTGAACGTATTTGTTATGAAAGTTTCGAAAGTCGTGAAATGTTATCCCGACAATGTTAACAACTTCAAGAATAATACGTTATTTGAGAAACTTTTTATTGGAAGAAAGTTGAAATAATAACAAAACGTACTATTTCGAAAATCAATCTAATTTTCATTAGTTTTGGGACACGTCTTTGTAGAATTGCCAATGTTGCTCTGGTATGGAACGATGGATCATCGTCATTTACAGCAACTTTGCCTGTGTGAAAATGTCGCAACATTATCCTTCTTGCTTAATCTGAAGATACTAAACATTTATGATTTCCCTGTACACATCCATTAAGAGTACTTTTATAGACCAAATGACGGTATTTGCTAATGGTGAAGTTTCAGCTTTTATTTTCACTTTTTGTGGGATTTTTTGAAATACTGAGGCTACCAGCCTTTAAAATATTTGATTTATTCATTTTGCAGTTATTTTATTTGGAAGTAAGGCTCGCGTATTTTCGAATTTCGTATTATATCGTAAAATTCCTTTGCGGATTAGATTCAGCAAAGAAAAATATTGAAGTATCCCATGAATCGGCTTGTCATAATTAATGTCAAGAGAAATCTCCTTAGAGTATGATATCTATTTTATCAAGTTCAATCATTATTGGTTGAAGACATAAGGAGTTTTGTTTGCGTTTCCTTCTATATATGTACAGAAGATGGAGTTTTCAGGGCCTACATCATAAATGTTGAAAACAATTTTTTGAGATAAAATATTTCCTTCACTGTCATAAAAGCTACCCTTTTTGCTATCTTGTAGGGAGTAGTGGACTTGATTTTTGCATTCAATAATTCACATATAGAGCATACGTCTACCTATTTCAAGTAAAACTCATATTTTACGACATTTCTCAAGTCATGGAACTTTTCAATAAAAAATTGATGCATTTGTAAACTGGAAAAATTACGTAATAGAATAATGTTGTTTTCAACAATGTACTGTAGTGACTTAGTCAATATTTCATGTAAGCGTTTCAACAGACTTTAATTCTACTTACACTCTTAATTGCTTGATATACAAAATATGACATTATCTGGAATTGGCGGAAACTGAGTGATGACTGGCAACGTCTTATGCATATCTTCTTCTTTTATGGCGCAACAGCCCGATGTCTGGGCTTGGTTTCCTTTATCAGACTCCTTCATTCCTACCTATCCCTAGCCCTCCACTTCCAACACCTCACACCCAGAACCCAGAATCTACTTATATGTAACTCATCATACAAACTATGAATCTCTTTGTTATTACCAAAGAAATTGTATAACTAGAAGCACCATTGCCTATCCCCGCCCGTATACGAGATTGAAGCCAACGTTCGAGTGTTTGTTTTGGTTTTGGTCCTGACAGTCACTGACAGTGGTGTGTATAGTTTCGGCAAAATCAGACTTACACGAAGTGGCGTACATGAAGAAATGTATATTATCATTATTTTTTTTTTATTGAGCAGGTTTTTCAAAATTTGATT